GAGGACAACGCATCCTGATCCATGTCACCCCTCCCATCCTTCTCCCAGGATGATTTAATATCAGAATGTCCAAGATCTTGTCTTTAGGGCTGTGTGCACATCTGGGGGAAATACTCCATGCATGGGGGGAAAAAGTGAAATATTCTCACAAAAGTTGATCGTGGCTCATTTCAGAGTTGGAACAAGTGTCCCAAGGTGGAAGAGGCCCCAGTAGAAGAGGGGGGACACAGAAACACGTCCCCCCCAAGGTTCTCCCACAGTTACAGGTGCAGTTTTTTATTTCCTTTAAAGATGTGCTGTGGTGGGCTCAGAGTACAGAGTGAGCCTGGAGCCTTCCACGCTGCTGCATCATCTTTCTTCCTACTGGTGCTGCCCAGCACACACTGAGTCTGCTTTCTGAAAATCCCATGACTCAGTGTGCTCCCTGGCTCCTCCCCTGCCCTGTCTCCGTTAACCCCAAGTCAAATGACGCCTTTAGCAAGGCACCAGTGGCTCATGCGCCTGTCATCCTAGCTACTCAGGAGGCTAAGATCTGAGGATCAAAGTTCAAATTCAGTGTGGGCAAAAAAGCTTCAGATACCCTTATCTCCAATTAACTACTAGAAAGCCAGAAGCAGAGGTGTAGTTCAAGTGGTAGAGCACCAGCCTTGAGTGAAAGAGCCAAGTGAGCCTGTGAGGCCAGGTTTAAGCCCCAGCACCCACAGACATGTACACACACACACACACACACACACACACACACACACACACACACACACACCCTACAGGCACACACATGCATACATATGCACACACATACACATGCACACATGTACACTCACACATATGCCACATGCACACCCGCACACGCACTCCACACACATGTACACACACACCTTTTTGTAGAGGAGGAATCAAGAATCTTTTTTAGTTAGCTTTAAATAGTTGTATAAAGGGGTTCATCATGTCAGTTTATAGATACAATGCACCCTGATCCAGGTTCCTCCTGCTTCTCTACCCCTCCCAACCTCACCCCTCTCCTCCACCCCTCCCAACCTCACCCCTCAGTCACCCCATTTCTCCACCCCTCCCAGTTACCTCTCACCCATCCGAGAACCCTTCATCCATGAGAACCATTGCCTCATATTTTCACTCTAAGAAATTATTTTGAGAAAAAAAATCTCCGTTCACTGTTCACATCCCTTAGTTTGTCCCTTGCTTCTTCTGTTGAATGACATCTTCTTGAAAAGGATGGTGGTGCCTCTCTTAGAACTGCTAAGCAAACTTCCAAAAAACAAGACCAGGCTCTGAGTATTGTTCTCTCACTGAGATAACTTCTCTTGCCCAAACAGCATTGCTTTAAATTATTTATTTTTTGCCAGTCTGGGCTTGAACTCAGGGCCTGGGCATTGTCCTGAGCTTCTTTTGCTCAAGACTGGCTCTCTACCACTGGAGCCACAACACCACTTCTGGATTTTTCTGTGCATGTGGTACTGAGGAATCGAACCCAGGGCTTCATGCATGTTAGGCAAGCACTCTACCACTGAGCCACCTTCCCAGCCCAAGCATCACTTTTAAAAATCAGACAATCACTTGTTCTGGCTTGGAGTCCAGCCCAAGGATGGGGCTTTGCGTGAGATCTTCTCCCCATATGGTCCCTCTTGACCTCCCCTTGTCTTCTTTGGCTTCATATAGGCCCCACTTAAAATAGAGCACTCATCTGAAGACTGGGTTTTGCTGTTGCTGTGTTGTTGTTACTCAGGCTCCTATTTATCATGTGGCTTTGGATAAGGTACTGTTGTTCTAGTAACTGCAGTTTCACCAGGAATAAAAGGAGTGAGAGAACCAGAGGTAAGCTAGAGCTAAGAACCATCACCAAATCATTCTTATAACTTCCTTCACACTTAGGGACTCCTAGACAATGTGTCACGCAGGGGTGGGGTCCCACTGGTTACTATCTCACTGTGGGTCCTTCTCCCTCATTTAGCCTAACATGACACAACCAAAGAACTGGAGCTGGACCCCCATAATCATCCAGAGAAATGTTTGCTTCTATCATGGAATCTCCTCCTTGCCACTAGAAAAATATATTCAACATACATGACAGGTCAGGGGTGAACGGATTGTGCTTCAAAAACATTTTGAACACAATTGCCATCTTGGCTGTTTTTTTTTTCCTGTAAAATTCTTCTTTAAGTGAATAAATGTGTAGGGCAACTCTCCATTACCTTGATCAGCGTCTAATACCAACCTGACACTTAGAATTAAATTAGAGAAACAAAATTGGATACTTTTGAGACTTGAGGGCTGATTATCCTACTGGAGCTAAGGGTGGATTTAAACTCTTCCCTTATCCCATTTAAATCTAACTAGGTGTAAGCTCTCCATTACCGAGGAGTGGAGGTGTGTGCACAGACGGGGAGGTTCTCCTTGATGTCCTCACACGGAGAAACATAATACTTTTTTTCTGACACACATGGTTGCAATAGAAACCGTTCTTCAGCTGCCAGTCTGGTTTTAATCTGTTGCTTCTAGCAAGAGAGGATTTGCAGAGAATGTTAAGAAGAGAGCAATATTACCTGAACTTACTATAAAATAAAAGTGTTGATGAGGAATCAAGTTTTGAATAAACGCTCAGAATCGTAAGCATGGACATATGTTCTAACACAGTGCAAGGTATTAAGTGAAGAACTATAAGTTTTTGTCTTTAATATAAAGACTGCTTTTAAGATAACACTTCTAATTCATTTTACTCAAATTCTTTAGCTTACCCAGATGATAGCAAGGGTCAAATCTTGTTATTGAACACAGTAACGTGCCACTTAAACAATCCTTTTGGAAGATGAGTTATTTCACTGGTGCATTTTTCCCACAATCAAGTTTACCACTGCAGAATATAAAATTTAAAATAGCAGCTGCATTTCAAAACTGTAACAGGTTTTGTTCTTTCACAATGCAGACTAATACAATCTTTCAGAAGACTCATGATTACTATTATTAAAAGAAAAATACGCTGAAGAACTGCATACTGCCTGTTAGAAAATGTGTAAGAAGATAGTGGCTTCTTTGTCATGTTTCTCCTCAGTACTATTGTAAAAAGGATGTAAGGAGCTGATTCTTAACAGGTCATGGTTTTCTCTTCTGCCATTTATTTGTTCTTACAATGTGTATCAACCTAAGTTGCATAATTGGTTAAAATCAATTTTTGATTTAAAAGATGCACTTACTCGGTGCAAGGGGCTATTCTATAAGCTAAGAGAAGTATGAAGAATTACGTAATTTGTATACAACTGTAAAAACTGCATGGTCCTTCTCTAGGAAACAATCCAGCCAAGGAACAACACTCAAAGGCCACTCAATAACCACCCTGGTGTGAAAAAACACCATTTAATTCTCTCAGTGCCTTAAAGTTTGCAATTAATTGTATTTAAAAATCATATTGAGGTGATGAGAAGTGTTCTGATGAACCTTTTTTAGTGGAACTGTGTCAAGGACATATCTCCTATGAGGAGCTGCTTGGGGAAACCAACAGGACACACCTTTGCTTCAGATGCACTGGTCCAGCTGCATGCCAGTTCTTTTGCTTTTCAGAATTGGCTTTTGACATCTGGGCTTTGAGCTTGGTGGCAGGCACTCTCCCATTTGAACCACGTCTCTGGCTTCATGCTAGGTATTATCTTGCATTTTGGATGTCTGTTATACTAACTCCCTGGGTCATAAAAGTCTGGTTGAAAACGCTTTGTTTGCGTAGGAGCAGTAAACACTGCCTTTTACAGTGGACATTGCATTCTCCTTTTCCTGGAAAGTTCTACTCTTTTGGCCTCAGGAATCAACATTCTGGGCTGTACACTATTTCAGTTTTTGGCCACTTTACCACTGTCATCTGAGCCCTTTTAGCCCACAAAGTCTTTCTGGTGGTCCCATAGGTTTCCTTGGCTACCACTGCCATGTTTTGTCATCCAAACCTCTCTCTACCACCTTCACTCAGGTATATATCTAATGGGCATCCCATTTGAAAGCCACAAAAACAAAACCCAACTCGATTTCCTTAGCTTTCCCTCCTTATGTATAATTCTATTTCTGCTTACTTCCATTTGCATCACTTGTGCGCCAACATCACCGATATTTTTGTACTCGGGAGAAATTGTGTGTTTTTGTACATTTCAGTTAATAGTAGACTTCTTTCATCTCCACCATTTCGACCTAATTTCCAATATGCGCTCCTTGGACCAATGTAATGTAGAAAGCGAAGGAATTGTGATAAATCCTTTTCGCTTATCTTTTACCAAAGGTTTCTCTCTCTCTCTCTCTTTGAGGTGGTAATGGGGTTTGAACTCGTGGCTCCATCTTGTAGGCAGGCAGGCAGGCATTCTGTAGTTTAACCACACGTGCAGCCTGCTTTCTTTTTAGGTGATTTTTCAGCGTCTTGTCCAAGGGAGCGTCGCAACACGGACCCGACCTACCCAGATACGTCCTGCATAGCTAGGACCAGAGGAGTGCACAACGCCACGCCTGGGCCGGGGTGGACGCGGGGGGCTCGCTCACTCTTGGCAGGTCTGGGCCTTAAATCACAGCCTCAGCCTCCTGGGGTCAGAGGTGTGGGACGCGGCGCCCGGGTGGAGCTTCCAAGCGGCCACAGGACAGGCAGGCAGGGCCGCACTGGGCTCTCAACCTGTGGACACGGGGCCAGCCCTTCCCCCGAAGCGCGGGCCCGCCAGACTCGCCAGTCCGCCCGTCGCGGATGTTGTCTGCGGCCCAGCGGGCTGTACGTACACAGCCTGTTTTCTTTCCACCTTTGCGGAAAGATACCTTTAAGGAGCGGGGGCGGGGGGGGGAATAATGGTAATGTAAAAAGAAAGAAAACCTGCACCGAGACGGCGAATGGAGAGAAGCCAAAGCGCGGCCGCACCCAGGCTCCCCGCGGCTGGGAAGTGATAACGCGCGCACGCGCAGCAAGCAAAAGGCGGGACCCAGCGCCCCGCTGACGTCATCGGAGGCCAGACGGCTCCGCCCCTCTCAACATGGCGCTGCACTCAAGGCGGAAGGCTCCAGGATGCTGGCGCTTCATCCGGGCACTTCACAAAGGGCCCGAAGCTGCTCCAGTCGCCCAGGTAAGGGAAGCCGGCCCTTCTCCCGGTGGCTTCCCGTCCCGCGAGCTCGTCCTCATCCCCGTCCCTCCCTTCGTGTCCCTCCCGAGGTCCGATCGTCGTTGATTGACCTCTTACCCCGGAGTGCGGTGGGGACGTTGTGCGTGATGACGTCCAAGGAGCGCGCGCCGGAGATCTGTTTCCGGGTCAGCGCGGTTGCTCGGCAACGCGGGGCGCCGCTCCCGGGCGCTGGCTCGGTCATTTTCCCTCCTTCCCCTCACGGCCCGCGGAGGGCTAGCAGGGGCGGAGCGGTCGGGTCCGGCGGCCCGGGCCTTCACCGAGGTCATGACCACACGGGCGGGGGAGTCAGACTCGGGCCCTGGGGCTTTCCCGAAGTTTCCCCCCGTGGGCGGGACCGGCCCGGGTCGGTGGCTTCTGCGGCCCAGCGGGGAGGAGGCCCAACGCAGAGGGGAGGCAGGGAAGGCTGGGGAGGGCGGGGGGAGGCCCAGCGCAGAGGGGAGGCCTTGCGGCTCCTCTGTGGGCTCGGGACACTGTGCACTCACCGTAGTGGTGAGTGCGGGGCTTGCCACACCGGGTACCGAGGGCCAGGGCCTTTTCCGCCATGCTAGCTGTGTTATACGACAGAACACAAGCTCTCTGGGCTTCCTGCCTGTAACAGGCTACGTGGAAAGAGTGTAATTTTAGCACGCAGTGTGCTTTCAAACTTCGGGAAATCTACAACCCCGTGATTAGGAAGGCAGAGTAGCCAGTGAGAGTGTTGGAGAGCCAAAATGTAAGTGTCACTGATTTCCCAGCCATCCCATGAAGGACTAGCTTTTCTGGACTTATTCATGTGATTCTCACAAGTTTGGTTTTGTGTGTGTGTGTTTCTTGCCAGTATTGGGGTTTGAAGTGAGGGCCTTGTGAATATGTGTGTTCTACCACTGGAGCCATGCCCTAGACTCCCCTACCCCCCCCTTTTTTTGGGGGGGAACTGTCGTGGGGGCCTGAACTCTGGGCCTGGGCGCTGTCCCTCAGCTCTTCAGCTCAAGGCTAGCGCTCTACCACTTGAGCCACAGCGCCACTTCTGGCTTTTTTTTTCTTTTTGCTTACGTGGTGCTGAGGAATCGAACTCAGGGCCTCAGGCATGCAAGGCAAGTGCTCTACCACTGAGCCACCTCCCCAGCCCCCCCCCCTTTTTTTTAACAGTCCTTTTTTAAGCCCTTATCCTAGACTGACATCTTCCTATATTGGCTTTTCCCATAGCTAAGATGACAGGTGCCAGGATCTAACCCTTGTTTTATTGGTTGAAATGAGATCTTCTGAACTTTTTGCCCAGGTTGGTCTCAACTTTGATCCTCTCTGCCTTGGACTCCCATGTAAGTAGGATTTCAGGCATGAGCCATCTCATCGGGCTCTCACAGCATAAAGTGCAATATTCCAGAAGTCTCTTGCTCAACATACAGCTATTCAAATGCTATTTTACATTTAAAGAAATAATGTTAGATAAGAATTGACTCCAATTTATATCATCAAATACTCTGAAGCTTACAGATTTGATTCTTGAAAACCAGAATTACATTTATAGAATAGCATATTAAAGTATGAACTACCAAAATGATTAAGCCTTAAACACATACTTCATTTCAAAGAATTCCTGATGCCAGAATACACAATAAGACAATAAAGAAACAGAAAAACCAAAGTAGAGCCCGCTAATGACTGCCCAGGGATGATTGCAACACTAAATCACTATAAATGGGAAAAAAATCATTATAATGAAAAAAATTCCTAAATCTCTAGTGTTCAGTGGCATATATGAATGCTATTTTTTTGTTTTAAGTTATTTTTAAAGTTGAACTTCAAATGTCATTGGTTATTGTAGATTCTTTAAAAGATTTCTAGAATTTCAAGGATTTCTAGAATGGGTTACTATTTCAAAATCCAAAATTTAGCTCCTAGTAGAGTAAGAATTACACGTGAAATTCTTGTGTGTGTGCACGCACATACATGCATGCCAATGCCAGTGCTGGGGCTTGAACTCAGGGCTTCACGGTCTTGCTTGGCTTTTTCGTTCAAGGATTGCATTCTGCTGCTTGAACCATATACCTTTACTTCTGACTTTTTGCTGGTTAACTGGAGATTAAAAAGTCTCTTGGATAGGCTGCAATGCTTGGTAAGAAATGTACGCATTATCCTGCCCATGTAATTGTAACCCCTCTGTACAGTATGCTCACAAATAAAATTAAATTTAAAAAAAGTCTTTTGGATTTGTATTCTGGGGCTGGCTTCTAACCATGATCCTCAGATCTTATCCTCCTGAGTAGCTAATTTACAGAGGTGAGCCACCAGCACCCAACTGTGAGACTTCTCCCCGCCCCCAGGTATAAAATTCCATACTCTTTTAGTCATTAAAATGAAGGCTTGAAAGACTAATGAATTCTTTTTAAAGATTTAGAGAAAAGGATATAAAAATGTATGATTGATGATTATAATATTATTTATTTATTTACACAGGAAACAAAGCCTGGAATGAAAGAACTATTCTTTTTTGTGGGACTTTGTATTTTCTAAGTTGCGGATTAAAAGCAATTTAAGTTTTCTTTGAGCGTTATTTTTCACAAGTTTTAAATAGAAGATATATCACTTTTATAACCAGTAAAAAAGAAAGCATAAATCTCCATACAAACCTGTAGTCATTGATATTATTTGTGGCATTTTAGGTCTCTGCAAGAGATACTTGTCCTATATTGCTATTATTAAAATGACCTTAGAAGGACTACTAAAAATTTATGGCCACTTTTCCTGTATGTATCTTCTCTTTCTCTTGAAAAGCTTCCTTTGAAGTCAAAGGGATTTTGTGAACAGATGCAGAAATATGTGAAGGAAGAATTAGATTCCTACTCCAGATGCATTAGACATTTTTATGATATCTCATAACCTTTGTAGAACACAAAAATTATTTTATAAGAATGTATTAAAATAGAAATGTATATTCATCATATGGATGATTTTTATCATAACCAAGAAATAGCTGAAGTTTCTTGTTACTGTTTCTGGCTGTGTACTTGGCCTCTGAGGCGAAAGGAAAAGTGGAAGGAGTGGATGAACCAGAGCAAGTCTCTGTTAGGAGCTGTGACTGATAGAGAACTTAATGCCCACGTTGTTTTAATGCTTGCAAGATTTCTTTTTTTAATCATTGGGAATCCTTAGTTATCTCAGATGCTGTGTTTTGCCCCTCAAGGTTAGTTGTAAACTTAAGATCAAAATAGAGAAAGTTTTAGGGGTGTATTCCAGTGGTAGAGCACTTGTGTGGGGTGGGGAGGCCCTGGGTGCAATCTGGTTGAGAAGGGCAGGAACCTGCATGGCAAGACTTCACATTATACTCATTGTGGATGTCTGCAATTTGTGTGAAGCTGGTTTATTTTGCCAGGTGTTGTTTGACAGAAAACTGTTGAAGTCTGATGAGATGCGAGTAGTCACAGAGTCAAAGGAATGAAAGTCTGAGATGTTATTGTTTAAATGCTGATAGTATTAGGTAAATTTAAGCCTGTCATCATCGACTAAAATACAGAATTCAGGATTGTATCGCACAAAGAGTGAAATAGTGTTGGTCAGACTGCTGCAAGAATATTTAGCAAGAATATTTATTGTTACACAGTTGAATGTAAAAATGTGGACACTTCAATGCAGTTGAACAACATGCTTCATTATTCACCACTCAGCATAGGTTTGGCTAATATTATGTTCTATTTCTGCTGCTAATATTATGTTCTATTTCTGCTGCTAATAATCACTAAGATAGACACTAGATGAAAGAATAATAAATATAGTAAATAAACAATATTGGCCATTGTATTAAGTTTTTAATCCTGTATATAGTTTTCAGTAGAAGAGTTTTTAATGTTTTATTTTCAGATAACTTCAAAATTATGAAATTAGTCCAGGGAATTTGTATGTAACCTCACCAAATGTTGTCCTATGGATTCATAACTGGGTTATCAAAACCAATAATTGGGGCTGGGATATAGGTCACTGATAGAGCACTTGCCTACAATATATGAGGCCCTAGGTTTCATTCCTAGTACTGCAACAACAAAAATATGTGTGTAGTACTGTTAGTACAGATTGCACGAGTTTTTCATCTATCACTTTCCTGTGTAGCATTAAAGCCAGAATATCACATTCCATTCAGTTACTGTGTGTTCTACAATTTATGATGTTTTTTCAGTGTGTGTGTGTGTGTGTGTGTACGCGCGCGCGCGTGCACGTGTGCCTACATGCATGCTGGTATAGTGGCTTGAACTTGGGGCCTAGGCACCATCCCTTAGCTTTTTCACTCATGGTTAGCATTCTATTACTTGAGCCATAGCTCTACTTCTGGCTTCCTTTTTATGGTTTTTTGTTGTTGTTGTTGGTCGTGGGGCTTGAACTCTGGGCCTGGGCGCTGTCCCTATGCTCTTCAGCTCAAGGCGAGTGCCCTACCACCTAAGCCACAGCACCACTTCCGGTTTTCTAGTCATTTACTGGAAATAAGAGTCTCATGGTCTTTCCTGCCCAGATGGATTTGAACCGTGATCCCCAAATCTCAGCCTCCTGAGTAGCTAGGATTACAGGCATGAGCCACGGGCGCCTGGCTTGTTGGTTGTTGGTTTGTTTTTTTCCCTCACATAAGGCTGGCACTCTACCATTGAGCCACACCTCTGCTGTGTATGCATGTTGTAACTTAACATGTAATGTGCAATTTATCTTCAGCTACATATGCACATGAAATAATAGCTCCCCCCACTCGCCCTTTTCTTCTGTCTCTCTTCCTTTCTGTCCACTTATTTCCATACACCAGCCTGGTGTTGGTGTACAGAGACATGCTGTGTGTTCATTCTCAAATGCCGCATGTCGCCTGACCTCCAGCCAACTTACCAGCAAAAAGCCAGAAGTGGAGCTGTGACTCAAGTAGTAGAGCACCACCATTGAGCAAACAAGCTAAGGGACAGCACTCAGGCCCTGAGTTCAAGCCCTAGGAT